CTAGTAAACAGCATTTTCTGCGATCCTGATTTCTAACAACAAGTAAACATTAAATGAAGTGTGTTGTTATAAGTCGTTACTCGGCAGGTTGGAATTGTATTTATCTAGTTCCTTTTGGAATAGTTTATTTTGTTGTTTTATCTAAGTTTATGAATTTAGTAAACATATTTAAAACTCAGCTTATTAATTAAACTAAAAGGTAAATGTTATTCCTAGTAAAATTTTCGAATTGGAAGTAGTTGTGTTTTTTTCATATTATACCCAATTAACGTCGCAGGTTGTGAAGTTTAACTTCTTCCGCGCGGAGGGACTCCACGCACTCTTTTTTTTCTATATATTTATATGAAGAACTATTATTATTTTAATTTAAAATGAACTCTTTTTAAGATTAAACATCTTTGAAAGCTATAACCTGATAAATACATTTGTTTCAATATTTATTTTTTATTCTATTCAGCATCTGGCAATCAAGAAACATGTTTTTTTTAAACTCTTATTTACATTTTAATTTCGCTCAAATTTTGAACGTAAGAATTTTTAGAAGAACTTAATGGATTGTAATTTAATAAACTGTTTAAATAGAATATATTCTGGGTCATCGGAAAAAGCATATACTTTAATTCTGCCTATTTAAGATTTTAACTATCAAAGTTCGAAAAACGCTGTGAAATAATTCTAACAAAGGGGAATAGTTCATCCTATACTTTTTTCCCTCTGGCTTCTGCAACATGTCAGGGAAAAGCAAGCCTTAGCCAGTAAAATGATAGCTAACCTTTTTGTTGTCCACTGTGTTGCACTTTCTGTACCACAATGGCAAGTTAATCGCCTCTCTTTATCGCCAAATTATGAAACGATAGAAATAATTTAAAAATATTAAGGATAATTTATTGAAGTTTTAACCAACAAAGCATTTTAAGAAGGAACATTTTAAATCGGACACTCTAATCTGCTTCTAGATTCATAGCTTAGTTAAGCCTAATGTTCTGTTTAAAACTCTAAAAACCATTTCATCTTCCGAAATTTCAATAAGTTTTTTCTCCGTGGTATTTAATCCTTGACAAATAAATTTTTCGTTTGAAGATCTAGTTCATATATTTTTGCAATTCTGTGAAGCAATTAATTTCTAGCAATTCTATGAAGATAATTTACCTAGGTAGAAAATAAAATCCTTTTCGATTGTCACGGAAAGCTGTGCAGAGTATAAACACTTCATGCTGTTTCTGATATTTGAGGTTAATAGCTAAGCTTCTTTCTCGTCTTATTTAATCATTTTAAAACATTACAGTTAAATAAATAGGTACAATATATAAAAACTTTGTGCACTTTATTAAATATAACTTTTTATATAAGCTTTTAAAGTTCCAATTTAAAATTTGAAGTAAAGATTAGCGTACTTTATCCTCTTAGCAACAAAAGCTTTTTTGAAATCTTCTCTCTTAAATCTTTAAGATTCCTTCTTTTCCGATATTCCTTCTATACTTATGTGAAAATATGATTCTTAGTAGCTACTTTTAGTTTGCAAAAATTATAGTTATAGCCTATTTTAACTATATTTTAATCCTCTAACTTTATTCTTTTAGCTAAGATATATTTTAATGGTTGACTTTTGTAACTCTTAAAGAGCTTTGAAACGTAAAATGGTTTTTGCTTGTTATCTATGATATTAATTTATTCGAAATAGTAAAAAAAAAGTTAATTGAATTAAGAATTTATTTGTTTTTAGTTTACTTTTATTTAAAAGTAAAAATGAATTTAACAATTAACAGAATAATAGTTTGGTCATTTTACCTGTAACTAATTTAATTAAAATTTCAAAGGAAAAATTACTAAGGAACTTGAAAAAACTTTCACACCTATACTGTTAATGAACTTGGATCGAGTAATATCCTCAAATTTACTACAACCATATTAAGGGGATAAGTTTGAGGAGATATGGAGATAAGTTATCGTGCAATTTCATCTTTCTTAAACTTTATTACTCGATATGGTGGTTCAAATTGAGAAACACGGTTCAAGTTACAATTTGACACCATATTAAGTTTGATAAAATTTTGTATTGTATAGTTGAAGGTACCGATATTTTAGTCTTATGTCAAAACAATTTTTCTGAGATGTTTTTCATTCAAAGTTCATTACAGTGTCTTAAATTGTTTTACTTTTTAACCAATATTCTCAAATTTACAATGCCAGAACTCCAGAAAAATATTCACTCTCGAAATAAATAAATTAATCGTTTGAAGAAGTAAACATTTAAAAAATGTAGGGGAAAGTAAGTTAAGAAGGAGTAGCTGAGATTCGAAGACCTGTTGGTGATAAACTGATATGGCTAGCATTTGTCAGATTAAATCAAGATACTGATTGCTTAGTTGTGAACTATATACCATTCCTGAAAAATCGTAGATGTATTACTTTTTGTTATAAATGTTCTTTTTTCAAGAAAAAGCCAATTCCCTGGGTACGCATTAACTCTATAGGGAGTTTAGAAATACTAGATTTTCTGAGAAAAAATAGCAGACATTTCTTTTTTCTATGACAATTTAAGAATATTTTGCTTGTAATTTTCATGTGATGTTGTCAAGGCGGCACTCAAGGGAGAAATAGTTACAATTGTTCCAAGATTGCCGAGAGCCCGACCCGACTTTCTTGCAAAAAATAGTCTTTTTTTTTAAAAAATAATATTTCAAAAGATTTCGTTATATGTATAAAAAAAAGTGCATTAAAAAATTCTATGAAACACAAAACCAAGGCTTTCTGTGCTTTGAGGAAGAGGCTTGTTCTAAATTATGCCCTGGAGATCGTAAAACCTTTGTTTGGTCTTGTAGTATGCAGTTATCATCTTCATAGACTGTGAGATACACAAAAACGTACTTTCTCTGAATAGACATTTTTTCGATGGGCTCGGATTTCTGACCCCCCAAAACATTGGGGGGAGGGGGGGAACAATAGCAGCAAATTGGCGAATATGGTCTTCAAAGTTTGGGCAGGAGAGCAATTCGATGATTGGACCTCTTATTGTTAATTTTATTCTTTGCGTATTTCGCCACACGTCGAGAACTTTTCAAACGAATCGAAAAACTTTTGCACTCAACCATAAAATTCGCTTATCCAACAATAATTTCATTCAAACAAAGTTGTAGCAAATATTTATTGCTCTTATTTAATTATAATCGAAAATATTATCGGGGTTAAGACTGTATAGGAACCCAATCCGTGAAATGTCGTCATACGCCGCTAGATGCACTTTCCTATTGTAATCTTTCAGATGCACACGTATAAACAATTCCTAATGAGGAGTTATGATTGTAAGTAGTTGATGAATGATTATAAAGTGATTACAAAAATCTTAGTGTACTTACTAATCATTTTTAATAAAGGGTTATAATAATTAATAATAGTTATTAGTTTTGTATTAAGCCATATGAATGAAGAAAAAGTACTGAATCGAAATCAAGTACGAAAATCTGTCGTATTGTTGTTAACACTAATATTTCTTAATTATTTTTGGTAATAGATACAAATTGAAATAAATTTGTTTTAAAGCTTAAAGTTATGACTAAATTATTAATTGCTAAATATTATTTGTTTAAGAGCTTAATGGAGAAATGTTACTTTTTTGTCTGGAAGATCCATGAAAGGTCGCCATATTATTATTGAAGTCAAATAACTTATGTAATAGTTTCTATTGGTATTATGTTAATTGGTGTTTTAACCCGTAATAATAAACTAATATTGTTAACAATACTAATATTGTTAATTAATATTGTTAACAATACTAATATTGTTAACTAATATTGCTAACAATAGTAATATTGTTAACTAATATTGTTAATACAAAACTAATAACTATAATTAATAATAGTTATTAGCTTTGTATTAAGAAGCCATATGAATGAAGAAAAAGTACTGAATCGAAATCAAGTACGAAAATCTGTCGTATTGTTATTAATACTAATATTTCTTAATTATTTTTGGTAATAGATACAAATTGAAATAAATTTGTTTTAAAGCTTAAAGTTATGACCAAATTAGTAATTGCTAAATATTATTTGTTTAAAAGCTTAATGGAGAAATGTTACTTTTTTGTCTGGGAGATCCATGAAAGGTCGCCATATTATTCTTGAAGTTAAATAACTTATGTAATAGTTTCTATTGGTATTACGTTAATTGGTGTTTTAACCCGTAATAATAAACTAATATCGTTAACAATACTAACATTGTTAACAATACTAATATTGTTAACTAATATTGTTAACAATACGAATATTGTTAACAATACTAATATTGTTAACAATACTAATATTGTTAACAATACTAATATTGTTAACTAATATTGTTAACAATACTAATATAGTTAACTAATATTGTTAACAATACTAATATTGTTAACAATAACACTGAATAAACTAATATTGTTAGCAAGATAGCTACTGTAGGTACTGGGGAAATAAGTTTTTTAGCCACACTGAAAAGGATAAGTACTGTGGAAAATTGTTGATTATTGTAATTTTTGACTATCAGGTATTTACCTCGAGCAACAACTCTTTACCAAATGATACTGAAAATAGTTGATCGTTAATTTGGTGCAATAAACTTCTAGAAACAGATTTTTCTTTATATGATAACGTAAAGCCACTGAGATGGTCAAAAAATAATATTAAGTAAAAAAATGGAATTGTTTTAGCTTAATTAATTGTGTAGATATTTATAGTTTAATGCATGATTTCATTGTATTGATCATTGCAGATTTATTGACTATTTACTTTTTTTCCCTTTCTACGAAGAACGGATATTTAGCTAGTCTATAATATTGTTGAAACATTTTCCTAAATTTTAATTATACTTTAGTCACCATAGTAACAATTACATTAGAAGAGAACAATTTTCGCGAAACACTTCATAAAACTATGCTTTATATTTAATAAAATAGATAACGGGAAATTGATTTCACAGACTCACGCTTTGTTTATGTGATATAAATTTTTTTTTTATGGGTCACTGTATAAACATTATTACTGACATAATCCGGATCATACTGATGAAAACATAACTTGTTTCAGAAAATCTTAACACTTTTGTCGAAGTTTAAAATTAGTGTATCGCTCAGCGCCTAAGATGAACTAGCATTAATCGTAAATATTATTAAATAGTACTTTTAAAAATTTACAATTTAGTTCTTTTCTATTGTTGGAATAATTCAGGTAAGATTTTATTCTATTAACAACTTGCTATTTAATAGGAAAACGTAATAACGAAAAACAGCTTTCCATTGTTGTGAGTTTATTCTTAGCGGCCAGAAAATAGCATAGTATGATCCAGTATTTTTTCTACATTATAGATCCATATTTCTTTGGTTATCATCAGCTTAAAAATATTAAGATATTGTTTTCCTGAAAAATATTTATTTATTCTCACTTTAAAGGTAATAAACATGTGATGTTTATTTATCCTCCTTTTTTACTATTCTACTCAATTATTATGTGTTTGAATTTGATTATTATGGGGGCAGTGTTCTTACAGTAGTAATTTCTGGTATATTTGAGTTTTAGTATTGAAAGAGGAATTACTACTCAAATACATCAAACTAGTTTTATTTAGGAAATGGTTTTGAAAAGAACAAAATATGTCCATATCAACAAAAATTAAATAGTAAACAGCATCTCCTTTAATAAAAACAAAGAGATGCATTTTTATATGGCAATTGAAACTACGGACACTTAGGAAGATGGGAAGAGATCCAATGTTGGCGAGTTATCAATAGATAATATAATCAAAAACAAAGCTAACCACGCGCTATTTATAATTTAGTTACAGTTAAACCACCAAAAATGGCAGTGAGAAATAAATATATCTCTATAACCGAAATATTTTTGTGGTTAGAGGTATGAGGCAACCAGTGACGTACATATACTTAGGTTCGACCCTTGCAAGATTTATAAATGAGCATTATCTCAACACCAATTTTTTAAAATTATAAAAGGAGACAAAAACACTATGAAGAGACACTGAGGACTTTATAATCATTCATTCTATTTTAATTTATATTTATCTTTCTGTAGCTCTATATATTTTTTATTTACTTTTCTTTTAAGTGGAAAAGAAATGATTTGCTTTATTAAATGTTAAGAGAAATAGCGCTTGATTATTTGTTTGTATAAATTCAAGGATTTTTTCTTGTCAAAATTGAAATCAATAAAATGGTGCAGTTAGTAATAATTATGGGTTGCTAATTTAATGACGTCTAATAAATAATCATCTGATTTTAGATTTTTTGAAATAGGCTTTCAATGATTACTTTGAGTGATACTGAAACCAATTTGAATGATACAAAAAATTCTTTCGGCGTAAATTACGTAAAACCAAAGATATTTACCCAGAATCTAAACACGGACTTAAATATGAGTAAATAATGTAACTGACTAAAGAACTAGTAATGTAACTGACTAAAGAACTTTTTAAAAATGCTGATCGCAGAATTGTACTTGTATAATCGCGCCAAAAAATCCGTTTTTGTTCTTGAGTAACGCCAACTTTATTTTTGGCATTCTAATAGTGCGACGACCTTGTATTTTACATACTTCGAAAGATACTGTGAAGTTTAGTTAAAGTTTATTACCAGTTTATATATGAATATTAAATAAAGGCAATTAAAAGTATATTTAGACTCCACCGTCTCTATTAGGAGTTTTCAAAGCAAAGCGTATAGTATCAACACCTCCTAGAAAAGAGTAGGCCTCTGCACGGGTTACCATAAATATCCTTTAGTAGTCCAAACGTAATGACATATGTCGTATTTTCAACCACTGCGCAGCTTAGTACCCCGAACGTAATGACATCTTTCTTATTTTTCGTCTACTGCGCAGTTAACTTCGTCACATCGGACTACTAAATTGATCCGTGCTGAGGCCTTCATACTTCTAGGAGGTGTTGATAGTATCCGACACAATGACCAATCCAATTGGACATTTCAGTGATAAAATATTTGTTCGAATTTTCTAGCATTACACCAAAATTACCCCAAATGTTAGTTATGTTGAAATGGTCATATTTTTGAATTAGGAAGTGTCATTTGCTATAAAAACTGATTTTCAATCCTCAAAAAGCTAGTTAAATACTCTTAAAGAATCACCGATGTCTCTCCAGGAAGTTGAATTGGAAAGCAAATGCGTTTCAGCTGCTAGCTTTGCTCATTTGGCCAGCAATGCTATTTAAGCTATTCAGAACTCATCTCGTATAGATGGTTCGTCAACTGTCCCTACCAAACAAACCAAATGTATGTTGGACAGGTGTAACTAATATAAACAAAAGGTATTCTGGAAAATTTGTAGAGAATTGAGATTTTGATGGTAAATTAGAGCTTGCCGAGAAAGTTAAGTCTGTCTCATGATACCACATATACACAAAGCTGAATACTTGAAGGCTGCTTCTACAACAAACAATAATTATGCTAGCGCTTAACATATTTATTAAACTTAGCATAATCAATTAAAAATTTTACGAACTTATGAGAAAAACCTGCAAATAAGTTAATGTTGATTGTTTTTAATAACTTTTTAAAAAATAGTAAACAGGACTAAAACCTTTTTCATTAACAGTGATGCATAATGATAGAAAATTAAAGTTTGCCTAAGAGCTTTCGTATAATTCATTCTTTCATTTGATCTTTAGAACTGATAGTATAGTAATAAACACTGTAGTGCTTTCCAATAAAATTCTATGTTTTCTCCAACTTTATAAGAAGGTAAATTTTATTATCAGATAAGGTAAATAAAAGACCTTACCTTTATTTGGATGAGTGTCCTCTTGCCGATAACACAGGTTGGACTATATTTGTTCTTCTAGAGAATTTTTATAAATTACAAGCACCTGGATCTTTCATGAAAAGATCGATTTTATTTTAAAGAGAAGAAAAGCAAATACATTTTAACTAATGACATTTAAAGGTGCAGCACTTAGACGAACAAACATATAAGAAAACAAACAGATCAATTTAAAAAATAAATCTTTGCTTTTACATCGCTGTTGCGCCAACTTTGGTCGGCTCAACTTACGATTAAAACTGTTCGTTGTGGTTCTTAATTTACTATTTACTCTCTGTTTTCGTCAGTGTAGTTTCGAAAATTAGTCTTCCTGGCGAAAAAATACCTTCTTGGATGTCGAAGAATGTATTAGTCTGAGGGGACTATGACGTGATGTTTATTTCCTTGTTAAATATTTAAACGTGATGAGACAATCACAGTATTGGACTACATGTTTTCACCCATGTTCAGAAAAATGTATCAAGCCCCATTATTACAACCTGATATGGTCATAACTATCTGCCTCTTAAAAGCTTGGTGTTAGTTCGGAAGTGTTATTTTCTTATTTTATTTTATAATATCATAACCGTTGTTGAACAACCGACCCAATTTTTGGGTTTACGACTACTAATGTTCAACTACGTAGCCTTGTAATTTTGAACCCAATCCAGAAGACAAGGAAACTCCTGGATCAAGTATTGGGAGAAATTTGCCATCGTGTAGGTCTTTTTGATGGAACTAACCAGCATTTGCGTTACATGGAGAGGAAGATCACAAGAACCTCCCACGGTTAGCCTGACGGCGAAGGGACTCTAACCCATGATCCGTCTACCACTGAGGATATTTCACGTCAGTATTGTGGTCGGCGCAAGCCGGATGTGAATTCGTATCGATAAGCCATTGCTGGATTCGAACCCGGTTCACCTCAGTGTGAGGTGAACGCCCTATCTCCTGAGTCATCGCGGCTCAGAAGTGTTATTCAAGCTAATTAAATATGACTTACTTCTGCGGTGATGAACTTAAAAAATTCAATAACAGCTAGAGGGAATTGTTCCTGGTATCTAACGCCACTCAAAATATGCTGAAAATTCTTGTTTTCATAAGCCCTGACTGATTCAATGAAGTTCGCTGGTTGACCAGCAGAAAAAGCCTTTTAAGATTGTACACAGCAACTAAGAATCTATCTATACTTTTTTTTTTCGCTTCGTGGCACTAAGAACATGGATATTTCTCTGTCTAAATTGTCAACAAATAATTCATTTTGTCAGGTTGTCTTAAACAATATTTTAAATAGTGTCCAATAATTAATTAAACCTTATTTATTTTTCAAATATTGATTTTTAAGAAAAAGAAACGGTGCTGGATTCATAGAAATTACAGGGGTTATTGAATAGAGCAAACAAGGGGGCGTCACTTTATAGCATAATAATAATAAAGAAAACACCACTTTTAATTTTAAGAACTTAATTTTAGATAACAATCGACTTGAAAACAATTTTAGAGAATAACTTTTAGATGAGATTGTAACTATTGTCAAATAAAGGTTAAATGAATAATAAGTAACAAAAGTATTAAAATTTTTATTCATTTTAAAGTAAAGTGCAAACTATACAAATTATAAATACGACAAATACAATATAAGTTTACACTAATTATATTGAATGTGCTCGTCTTACTTTATAGATTAAATTTTTATTCCTTGCTTTTTGGTATCATTTCTTGCATTCGATAGTTTAATTTTTAAGAATAATTTTGTATGACTTCTAAATAGAGCTAATCATTGCCCATTATCAAAAGCAAAACAATTATGTCCAATAGACTAATTTTATTTAATTGTTTCACCCTGTGATTTATTTATGACCATTATAAATGCCAAACAAGTCAACTATATCGTAATATTGTAAGTTTAAGTACTATGATACAAAATTAAAAAGATTTAGTATTTTTTTTCACAATATTTGTTGTCAGTTTTCTTTACACAAAACATCTGCTATGTAGATTTCCAACAGACATCTCTATTGCGCCATCTTTAAGACGCAATTTATGAAATGGCCGTTCCTCGGCGTTTATATCTTTATTATTATCTTAGATTTAAAGATATTATCTTTGAAACCTATTCGATTCATCATTTGCATCCTTCCCATTCAACGATATCTTTCCATCATAAGCGGCACTCTGCTATATTCTCTGGCCATCTATTCAGAAGTTGAATGCTTAATTGATTAGCTCGAATCATTAAATGAGATTAATAATACACTCTCCCTTACTAAATTAGCATTTATAGCCATACTAAGCTGCTTCAAATTTGCAATTATCAGGTTCACAGATTTATAAAATATTTGTTAAAAAATTTTTTGAACCCATCATAGGTATATGAATAAAAATATTTCATCTTCTTCTACCTCTTCACTCCGTAGAGGGTATTTGTGGAGACTCTCCCTCTCATCCTCTTGGTAGTCAAGCACTTATTTTCTAAGAAGCATGGGAAAATGTAAATTAAAATTTGCATTTTCTCATGCAACAATTTTGTTTTTCTTCCAGTTTCCCAAATGGCAATGAATTTACAATACGACCCATAAATAAAAATTTACTTATTTATTTTGCACTTAATTTAAAGAAGAGTACTTAATTTCGATTGCGAATTATTTTCAGATTTTCTCTCTCTCTCTCTCTCTCTCTCTCTCTCTCTCTTCAAAATCCTGGGTGTTTATATTTTATAAATTATAGTGTAGCTATCTGAGTTTCCTTTTTCACTTTGGCTGTTAGGAAACTGAGATCTAAATTTGTAGTCACAGTAATTGTGCACGACTTACTGGTCTGCATTGTTATATACTGAACTTCCAATGGNTGGTCACTTTATGAAGACTATTTAAAAAGGACTCTTTAAATAAAACTTATAGAAAATGGTCACCTTACTCAGGTGATCACTTTACCCAGGTGGTCACTTTTACAGGTTCCACTGTATATATATATATATATATATATATATAATAAAAATCATGTTTTGTTTAACAAAGTATATATTAAACATTGTATTTTTTTATTTCAATGAGATTTTTTATATAATTGTATTCGCGTTTAATGATCAAAACTCAGAAAAAATGCGCAAATAATACTTGGTATTATTTTCAATAATACTGCAATTAAAATTCTTAATACCACTAACAATACAAATTTTAATATTGTTATTTAATTATTGCAAACTAATTGCTGAATAAATAAAGTCAATTATCAAAATCAAACAAAATTTTTTTTTTATTATCGAACTTAAAAACATTAAGGAATCACAAAGACTGAGAATTGACTTGTCGAAAGAAAAGGATATTAATTTACGTCAGAAATATTTTCCATAATAAATTATTCTTGACAGAACAAGTCTTTATTTTTTATTTTCAAGTAGATATCTAATTAAGTTTTAAAATTACTTGCACTGAAATAAATGTGGATCAAAATTAAATGAGTGTAATTAAAACGGATTTATTGATGGTAAAACTGCTAATTTTTTTACATACTAAAATTATATGAAATGAATAATAAAAATAGAATTCAGAAGTCAGATTCTTATCTTATTATTAAGCTCTTAAAAAAGAGATAGTATTTTGTTTTTAATTTGTTAATTTATGTCTTGATTCTACGAATAAAACATTTATAATCAATGAGATTTGATATCAATGGTTTATTATCACAGCTTTAAGTATAATATATTAGTTAATGGAGTACTGTAAGAATAATATTTTTAGATAAATCTATGATTAAAAAAATGTGTAATTCAAATTAATGATTTTTTAATAAATATTCTTAAAACATGCTAACTTAGCTTTTTATTTTTTTTTACGCTTTCCGAAGCCGTTCTTAGGGATTACCCTCCACACACACTCACAAATCGGTAAAAATTGAAATTTTTAGTACAAATTATTTCCATGACATTAAAGTTGAAAGTGGAAAAAAAGTTCTATGCTCCTATTTTGAAAATTACACTGCTGATATAAAGGATTATTAACTGAAATGAAATTAGACAACATTTGGAAACATAAATTATAAGAACTCGTAAGAATTAAATATCCAAGGAATAGCAAAGATATATCCAAGATTTAGTAAACGTAAAGAAAAACTTTTAATAAAACTATTAATCTGTCCGGAACTTTTGGCGTCCTGACTCCTAAGCAAAGCCTTGTCATTCATAATTTATGTTAAATGTTTCTTCTTCGAACTAATTCAATTTAAAAATCTTGAAGGAAAAGGAGTACTTATAATGTAATAGTTTTATAATTAGAATTATGTTACATTGTACTCAGAAAACTCCGATTCCATGATTTAATGTAGTTAGGCATGAATAACCATTATTTCAATTGATTTTTCAAATGATAAGTATTTCGTTTAAATATTTACTGATATTTAAATAACCGATCCAAGTGCTAGAAAATAACGTCAAAATCGCGTCAACTTTTAGTAATACAAATGGATGTATACCAATTTCAAGTTTTAATTTAACCTTTCAAAATTCACTTTTGCTTTGAGCAAAAACGAATAGTAGGAAAAGGAAGTATTTCAGATATGAATTTATTCACAATTTCTTTTTTATTATTGTAAACAATAATTTATCATTTCAACTTTATGTAATTGATTTCTATCAAATATTGTGGAAAGTTTTGCTTTCATTTAAAAGTTGGTATTGGGTCGAAAAACTTTCTTAAATGTAAAGCTCAACTTATATAGGGTGTTGGCAGTAACGTTTTTTGAGCTCAGTGCTAGCACAAAATAGATTAGTGACGTAAATGTTTGACGTCACATCATATGCTAAATAATACAGACGTCTTGTTGGGACATCCGTAATTAGCGTACATTTTTAAAAATTTAGTATGAGTGTAGGGATCGCAATACCATACCCTTCAATTGTCGAGGCTTGAACGAAATATTTTTCTCAGTGGTAGTGAACTAAAACAGAAACTTTTATAACAAATAAAATTTTTGAAGTTATACTTCTTATGCGACTTCCAACAAGGGGTTGACGAGCACCAGCGAGCAGGGGGCGAAGCCTCCTAGTATAATTTAATAGGGTAGTATTTTTTATTTTCAAATTTAGAGGATAACAATTGTAAAAAATTAGTGAAAACAATCCCACGGAGAATGCGACGGATTTAAGGTTATGTCAAGGTACGTCTTTTGTGAATATCAATTGATTGTTTCTCTTTTGAAATTACTTTCGCATTCACATACATTAATAATACAAATACATTTCTATGGCGAGACGATAAGGCTACCACAAGCACTTCCACTGGTTCAAGAGGTCCACGAGGGAAAAATGCACACTATTATCGTGATTACAGAGCACGGTAGCGAGAGGAGCAGGAAAAAGAGTCGCTGAATAGAACTAGTGATCCATCTACGACTGCTGATTCTTCTACAATTAACGTCGCAGGTTACGAAGTTTAACTTCGTCTGCGCGGAGGGACTCCTCGCAACTTTTTTTTTTAGTAAACTTTTTCACATCTATCTTTTTGACCCTTTATATATCTGCTTAAATTATTCATATATTAATTATTAATTGTTACAATTATTGATAAAGTAGGACATAATTCTCTTAATTGTATTATTTTTACTACCGCTAGGAAATTTATTTTCTCAAGCTACAGAATTTCTGTAGTAGTTGTAGGGCATGCGCAGTATGCTCAGACTTTGATACCGGAGCTTTTTTAATTAAACTCCATGAAATTTCTTAATGGTGCTTTTATGGTTAATTAATCATAAAATGGGTATAATAAAAAGTTATAAATCAAATTACATTTTCAGACTGTCACACTGGGAGTTATATGAGTCAACTCGGCTGATGTCTCTCTCCATATTTCAACCCAGACGACGACCATTTATTATAAAAGTTTTAATCTTCATCGCAACTGTCTTCTTCTTCATAGTTATATTTTTGACTCACTCGTTTGTTCACGATGTAAATAGACAAAGTGAGCTAAAAGCTAAGGAACGCTTCAAGCAAAATCTACTTCAGTTGAATGCAGTTTCTCTGAATGAAAAATACAGCACAAAATATCGGAAACTTACTGATGAACATGTTCCCATAAATGTAAATGTGCCTCATTTTGAAGAAATGCGCCTGAATCTATCACTATTAAAGGATTATGATAAACCTGGTGAATATGGGAAACCTGTTATTCTAAATGACGTATCAGAAGTAGAGGAATACGTAATTGCATCTGGATGGAGAAGGCATGCTTTTAATGAATTCGTAAGCGATAGAGTGTCTCTACATCGTCAGTTACCGGATGCTAGACCAAAAGGGTAAGTTTTCTTTTGCATATTAAACTGCTGTTTGTAGAAAATGCAACACCATGAAGGAATCATCAGAATCAAATGAAATATTATTTTAATAATGGATATAGGATATTATGCAAATTAATAAAGTTTCAGAGCCATCGCGCGTGCGTGGCGCGCGCAGCGCCCTCTGAATTGATGCTGAAAGCGTATAAATAAAGTGCTGTAGCGGGACGTTGAAAATAGTCTATGATTATTTGTTAGTGGCAAACGTTTAGTGAGACCTGAGTATGCCTCCACGACGGAAGAATAAGAAATTCAAGCAACTTACGGAGTTTGAACGAGGGAGGATAATCGGCCTTCGAGAAGGAGGATTTTCCTATCGCGCAATAGCAGCTCGTATGCAGCGGAACAGTTCCACAGTGATGCGAGTTTGGAAGCAGTGGACCGACGAGCACCGAACAACTCGAAAAACAGGCACTGGACGACAGAAGGTGACGTCAGAGCGCGATGATCGACACCTGCTCCGCATGGCGGTGAATGATCGCACAGCTTCCTCCAGGCAGCTGGCAGCACATTGGTCTACTGCTACAGGTGTACAATTGTCGGCTTCGTCAATTCGTCGTCGTCTGCTGCGCCGTGGATTGCGTGCAAGGGTGCCATTATACAGGATTCCCCTCACGGCGGATCATCGACGGCTGCGTCGGCAGTGGGCTCTTGAGCACAGAGACTGGCGAGCTGATTGGCACCAAGTTGTCTTTTCAGATGAATCACGCTTCAATTTGTGGACCCATGATGGCCGTGTTCGTGTTAGACGTTATGCCGGTCAACGCTGCCTTCCTGAGTGTATTATTGAACGACATAGTGGTCGAACACCCGGAGTTATGGTCTGGGGTGCGATTTCGTATCATGGACGATCCAATTTGATACGAATTGAGGGTAATCTCAATAGCAACAGATACGTCCGTGAAGTGCTACAGCCCGAAGTCGTTCCTTTCCTTCAAGGCATCCCTGGAGCTATCTTTCAGCAGGATAATGCACGCCCACATGTTGCGCGGACTGTTAGAGACTTCTGTTCAGCACAACGCATGCAACTTCTTCCTTGGCCTGCTTATTCGCCGGATATGTCGCCTATTGAGCACGTGTGGGATATGGTTGGTCGGCGTCTCACTCGTGATCCGCGTCCTGCAGTTTCCAAAGACGAACTTTGGTTGCGCATACAAGCGATATGGAATTCTCTTCCTCAAGCAGATATTCAACATCTGTTTGACTCCATGCCACGTCGTATAGCAGCACTTATTGCAGCGCGTGGTGGCTGCACCAAATACTGATTTCGGACGCTTAATTTGTTTCTTTTGTTTTGAAAATTTCATCATTTATTTGTATCAGTACAAGTCGTTTCTGCATTAAATTTCATTTGATTCTGATGATTCTTTCATGGTGTTGCATTTTCTACAAACAGCAGTTTATAAATGTATTGAGTTAGCAGCAAAGTTCTCATTGTTTTCTTTATCCTTAATTTTAAAATTCTGGTGCCATTCATGGATTTTGGCATAATGTTTAGGAAAAGAATGTTTTGCTTTAATAAAATGTATGTTTTAGTTTTTTTTTTCAAGTTAATTTGTATTGATTTTCAGATCATTGATATGAAATGTCAAGTTGATAAAAATGAGTATTTCCTGTACTTCCTACTTTTTTGCTTTTAAATAGTGGTACTAAGTCCGCAAAAACTGCTAGTGACATTTGTTTGTGCTTTGTTGGAAGGGGGTGCAATAGCTGAAATAAAAACACTGGTGATGCTTATGCCTATTTTAAAAATTAAAAATGAAATTTTGTCTTCAAAGACTTATCGTTCTTATCGTACTGTTGAGTTCGATGAAGAGTAAGTAAACAACACTGGTGAACAAAATTAAGAGATGGAAAGAATTTTCGCACATTCATTCGCACATGCAAGATACCCGCTCACCTCTCCATGTGCTTGACAATGGTTCCGTGAATGCCCAGAGGTACAGTCAGTAGGTCCTGGAGCCATATGTGCGTCTTTTCAAAGGCGCTGTTGGCCCTGAATTCATTTTTATGGACGAGAATGCGTGACCACATAGGACTCTCATGGTTGATGAGTATCTGGAAAGCGAGAATAATCAACGAATGGATTGGCCAGCCAAATCCTCTGACCTGAATCCTACTGAACATGCTTGGGATGCTCTTGGGAGAGCTATTGTGATGCGCCAACCTTCCCCCAGAACCATTCTGGAGTTAAAAATTGCTCTGGTGGAAGAATGGGAGGGTCTTCCACAAGTCCTCCTTAAATCCCTTATTAACAGCATGCATACTCGTTGTGCATGTTGTCTGTCTGTCATGGGTGACCATACACTATACTAGAGGCAAGCCTCACTTTTAATGTCATCTTTTATCCTTAAGTTCAGACTACATTGGATTTATTGGGAATAGGTCTTGCCAGTGAATGGCACTTTCATTTTTGTTTTGCATACTTTATTATGATGGTATAAGCTATATCCATACCAAATTTCATTTATTTATATTCAGTATTTTTTGAGATATTCGGGAAAATGTCTTCCATCTCTTAATTTTGTCCACCAGTGTAAGTTTGGCAGAAAAATTTGACTCAAACGGCAAGAGAACTGAAAAACAAAATGGTGAGAACTTAGTTGTTAACTAAATATAATATTTTTTTTCAAAGATCTCTAATAAATGATTTGTTAATCAGTGATAATTTAATAAAACAAATATTAATCAATAAAATGTTATTCTCTATCGACGCAACTAAACGCCACTATTTGACATTTTTTCTCGACTGTGGAGAAAGTGGTTTTCATTCGCTTCTGTAAGATTAGCTGAATATATGTTGTTCGCAAGGGGACAAAAAAATTAATAAATCAGTGTGTAAAAAATGCTACTAAATCATCATGCAAACAAGATCTAAATATTTCATAATCAATAAAGCTAAAAAAATACATTTCTTTTAATTTATAAATATAGTTTGTCCTCCCTGTTGGATTTACTTTGTTAGTTTATTAGATTAAGCAAAAAAATAGATGTCCATCATTTCTAAATAAATATCATCTGTATTTAGTATCATTTGATATGATGCTGATGATGATAGAGAGTTTGTTGCCAACTTATGACAGGAAACTTTTCATCTCTGCTTATTATTTTCTCCTCTACTTATCCCTTTCGAGAGGCAGTCTTTCCATAGTATCTATACTAAAACTGTACAGTGTTGGCGCTGTTGTTGTTGGTACCAAATGTACTAAGTGTACTTATATTAGTATCTATGGTATCTATATATTCTGATCCATATATACTAATCCATATATACTGATAAAAAAGCACAAAATTACATTACCAGTAAGGCTTACATCCAAAATTAATTTCGCATCATTAGTGTCAAAAATAGTTTAGCGACTTTAAGCTTTTCTTCAACGAATTAGTACCATTTTCTAACTACTTTTAGTTACATAGCTTACTTTTTACTTAACATCAGCAATTACTAAAATTCATTAAACGTCATTGGCGCCAATAATAGCATGGCTATTTTTTACCGTTCTCTGAAGCAAACTAATATCTTAATCTTATTTATTATTATATTTTATTATTATTACATTTCATTGTTATTATTATATATTTATATTTACGGAATTAATTTTATTTGTTTCACGAAATAAACTTTTTAGTACATAGCTTGTACTTTTTATTTCTATCAATGAACAAAAATAGTAAATAAAATGCAAGAAAAATACAGAATAAAATACAAAATGTAATCTATAAAGCAATTAGCGAATTAAGTGAACTTACATGTTTCGTAATCTTTCAAAAATGATTTAAAATATTTTTGTAATAGGTTGCCAGATTATAAAATGTGAAAATAGAAGCTTAAAGAAAATAGAAGAAAAAAGTCCCGCAGTGGACAGATCGTTAAGACACTATTCCCAGCAGATCATCGAAGTCAAGCATCACTGGCTGCGGTCAGTGTACGGATGGGTGACCACTTGGATCAGTCTGCGTAGGGACCGAGGGTGTGCGGTATTAGTCCTCGTTAAACTGTTCTACGGTAAAGTGCTCGAATTCGCTTGCAGGTCTTCGGGCTACCGAAGCGCGGGTACCATCCCCTCTGCAGAGGATCAAAATTGTGATGGCATTTCTTCGGATCATCCTCAGGGATGCTTCCCAGATCATCACCAATAGCTCATTGAGCAGCTCTAGTACGACGTAAATGAACTACAACAACAAGCTTAAATAGAAGTTAGAAGAGTAAATAGAGCAATCTCCTTATGGTGCGTTCTTACTGCAGTGCAACAAACAAATCAAACTTTCTTTAGTAAGAATGCTCCATAAAAAAGATTCCTCCATTTGCGCTTCTATTTTAATATTTTTTAATTTGGCAAACAAAAATATTTTAAATCATTTTTAAGGGAGTCCGGAACCTGTAAGATCATTTGAATTCGCTACTCGCTTTATAGCTTACATTTTGTATTTTATTCTCAATTTTTCGTGCATTTTATTTTTTATTTTTTGCCATGTTTTATTTCGTATATTTTTTACTCTATATGTTCTACTTTCGTGAAAAATTTTGTCGGGTGTTCCTCGCACTATTGTATTGACATATTTTGCTTTGGCTGTATTAATACAGTTATTAGAAATCACTCCTTTTCGTGGAAATAATTGTGTAAGCTGATAACAGAATTATATCTTTCCATTAATCTGTTTACCGTCATTTCAATAATTAA